AAGTGCAGCCCCTCTGCCTGTCGCTGGCCCTGCCTCTTCTGGGAGAGTGGGGTGAAAGAATTTTAGCCTCCCCTACGGTTAACTCCCTGGTGGGCTTTGTGGAGGCAGAACAGGGGCCTTGAGACTTAAAGCAGTAGACAATCCCCAAATGCCATCTGTAGATTTGGAACTACATTCATTCATTTTTTTATATGCGTATTTTTTAGGGCTATAGATTTACTGTCCTAATTTTTGTTTTCCATGGCTTTCAAGCACAAAATGATGATAATCGATTACATTTATACATCACCTCTGACTTTTCTGAAAAAAAAAATTAATTAAAGATATTGGTTACATTTTCCCCAAATACTTCAACACCTATATGAATAATACATTTTTTGTTTGTTTGTTTGTTTTTTGAGGCAGGGTGTTGCTATGTACCCCAGGCTGACCTCAAACTCATGGCAATCCTCCTGCCTCAGCCTCCTGAGAGCTGGGATTACAGTCATGCACTTCTATGCCTAGCTCAAGTAATAACATTTTTTATTACTTACTTTTGCTCTATAAAACATTTACTAGTCCAAAAGTAAAAAATGTGTTCAAAATCTCACTCCTCTTCCCACCTTGATTCTGTTCCTCGCTCCCCTAGAAAATCCTTTTCTATTTTCATTAGTTTTTGATTTAGCTTTCAGTGTTTCTTTTTTAAAAAAATAAGTAAATACACATTTTCTTGACTATTTTTTTCCCTTGGTGCTAAAGAGCAAACTCAGGGTCTCATGCTAGAAAAGTGCTCTACCATGAGCTACACTCCGTGCCCCAAACATAGTGAGTATCCTAGAAATTTCTCCATTTCAGAGATCTTAATTCTTTTTCCATGACTCCTTAATTCTACATGGTACAGATGAGCATAATTTATTCAATCCACCCTCTACAATGTACTACTAGATTGTTTCCAATATTAAGTATTAGCATGTAAATAATGCAACAGTGAACAGCCCTGAAGACGTTCCTCTGAATTTAAGGGGCTGTGTCCTTAGAGAAAATTCCAAAGTGGAGTTGCTAGGTCAGTGTACATATGACTCCATCAATGCATCATCAGAAACAGCCCACATCCTCCCATAGGGCTTTTACATCCCATTCTCACCCTATTAGCCACGTATGAGATTGTTTTTGTCAGCCTTACTGGTAGAGAGTGTTAGTAGTTTTCTGATGCTATGGAGAAATTGCCACAATCTTAGTGACAAAGCAAAGCACATTTATTATCTCAGTTTTTGTACATCGGGAATCTGATGTAGCTGAGCTGGGCCCTGTGCTTAAGGTCTCACAGTGTCCCTGGGCTGGGTCTGAGAGGTCCCCAAAGCTGAAATAAGGAGCTTAATCGACCCTTTTGGAGAATAAGTTTGCGGGTTTGTTGATTCACATCGTGGAAAAAGAATTTGCAGGAGATGGGAAAAGGCACAGGAAGGGTTTGTTAGGCAGAGATTTTAGGACACTCTCAAGAGTGACAGCAGGAGCTCAGAGAAATGAGATGCATTGTTTCCTAGAAGAGGGAACATTTGTGCTTCTCTTGAAGGGGAGAAAATCCCAGGAGAAGGTGGCAAGTACCTAGTACCCAAGGAGGGTACTAGACCATTCTACAGGTATGGGCCTAGTGTTTTGTTTTTTGTCATTTAAACATTCTTTGGATTCTTTCAACGTGTTCCTTTATCTTAGGATCAGACTCTTGCTCTTTACTTTTTCAGTTAAACCAGTTTATGAACTTTGAGTATTCCTGAGGAATTTGGGGTGTGAAGGGCCTAGTCCAAAAGAGCCTAAACTGAACCAAAGGAACACTGATAGGGATCACTAGGGTGACTTTGGCTGGGTCCTGGGAGTTGCAGTCTTCTTAAGAGTCCAATTTTTAGGGGCTAGGGATTTAGCTCAGTGGTTATGCCGTTTGCCTTGCAAGCGCGAGGACCAGAGTTCAATCCCCAGTACAATTTTTAGTTGTGATTTTCCTGTCTCATTTTTCCTTATCTTTTGTTTTTGTTCTATTCTACCTCATTCCCCTAGGCCTGAGATTTTGATTCCTTATTTTTAAGAGGGCATTTCTATTTTGTTTTCTGTAACTGTTTTAGGCTGAGAAGGGGTTTTGATCCTCTCTATCCAGGGGTCAAAAGTCTCACCCTGACTGATCTAAGAGGAAAAAGGAAGCTGGGTTTCAGTGTTCAATAAAGGGCCATCATTTTTTTTTTTTTTTTTGGTACTGGGGATCGAACTTGGGTCTTTGCGCTTGTGCAGCAGGCGGTGAAACCACTGAGCTAAATCCTCAGCCCCAAAGGACCATCTTTTGATAGTCTCGACTAGAGGACTAAGACATTAACAGGTCATTGACTCTTAAAGCTTATTTTAGAACCTGGCTAAACACACCAGGGCCAGAAATTAATGCTAGACTATTGATGAATAGTGGCTCTAAAAAATGATGAAAGTCGGTAAGATTTGGCATAGCCTTTTGTTTTTAATATTCACCTCTATTTGTTTTGAGATGTTTACCCAAATATAACAGGTGGATTTTAAGAGCACACAGATTCCTCTTTATTTTGTTATAAGAAAGCTAATGCCTTTTAACTATAACAATCGTGAATGGAGATATCTATAGTATATATATATATATATATAATATATATATATATATATATTTTTTTTTTAACATTGGGCCATCAAAATTTTTACTCTAGGGTTCTATTTTGTAGACCTGAAATCCTTTTGTAATGACTGGCTCTAGATAATATAAAGTAGATAAAAGAAAGTATATAACATAAAAGTAATAATATTAGTAGCTATAGTATTTATATTGTCATTTTTATTTTATAGGCATACCTATGGTATACAAGAAGCTAAATCTTTACTTGAGAGAGGTACTTGAAAGTATATTCAAATAACATAATGGGAATATACAAGGACATAGCTAATGAGATTGATCATCAAAACTTTTTGTGGCTATAAGTTATAGGTGTACCTGTAACTTACAGGTAATGCAGGGGAGCATTATTTTTATGTTAAGAAACTTTAAGGCTTTTATTTGCAAGTCCCACATAAGCTTGGAGTCTATTAGTCCCCATCCTGTAATGTTTTAAGTGAGCCTGGCTATCCCCAAAAACCTGGTTGTTTTTTTAAAAATTTTTTATGGAAAGCTCCAACAGAGCCAGTTTATAAGGGCAAAAATAAAAAGGAAAAATGGAATTGATATGAGCTCAAAAAAACTTTTAATGAAGTATCTGCAGGTACTTTAATCAGTTATTAAAACAAATTAACAGGCACATGAACAGACAAGAGAACAGAGAAAATACATAAAACAATTATATTTGATCAGTACTCTCTGAGATGGATTGGCTATGCTGAATTGAAATAATCTCTTTATAGTTTTAGGTTTATAATTCTAAAAAGACTAGTCAGAACTTTCCCTATGGAGTTACTAATGAGCACGTTTAAAAAATGTAAGTAATTACAGTATTTTCTTTAATGTTTCAAGCTATTCTTTTTGTTGTTGTTGTTAGTTAACAGACTTATAGCCAGTAAGAGTCAGAAGGGGAAATAGAGAAGCGTTATAAATTGCTATATAGGATCTTTGTTTATTTTCCTTCCTTATTATAAAACCAAGTTTGAGCCTTGTCTTTTTACTCTATCTTATATCTGGAGCAAAATCAACCTTTTAAAATCTTCCATCGTAAACTGGCCCCAAGTTTATAAAATATAACCTAAAGGTGACATTTTATGGAAGTCTCTGAGTTACCCATATCACTTAAGATGTGTTACATGCTTTAAGGTCTTCCTCATGTACTTTTGGAAAGAGATGAAAAAGAAAAGAAGAAAAGAAAAGAGAAAAGTCAGGGTCATGCTGGTGCATAGCCCGCCTAATGCCAAGGTCACACTGTGTGCACCCTGCCCCACTTCCCAGGGTCAGAACTGCCCGCGGGGCAACTCTGCCCTGTCATCGGGGAACTGCTGAGGGCCAGCTCTGCTCTAGCTTTTGACATTGACTGGTCCAGGCATCCTTGCTAGTCATGCAGAAATCTGTTGCTCATGTCCAGGACAAGCATTTTTGCTCCTGATACACAGTCATTCCAGCCTTTATCAACAGATCAGGAAAGCAGGAAAAGTTTTGCCTGCTCTTTCCAAGTGGATCTGAAGCTATGCCAGTAGAGGGCGCAGGAGAGACACAGTAGGAGAAGGGTTTTGCTTCCTGGCTGGGCTGAGCTTCTGTGATACAAGGGATGTTCCCAGGCCCAGGTTCCTACCCTCAGCAGCTCCCAGGCACCCTCTCCTAGGATATTTTATAGTGGAAGGCCTCTGGTTGGGGGACCCTTCCAGTGAGCAGCTCAGCACCCAGAGGGTGGATGTCTGGCAAGTTCTGGAGGGGAGACGCCCCAAGTTTCCACGGGTTAGCTCCGCAGGACTAGGGCCACGGCCATGCACCTTCGCCAACAAGATCAGGCCCCACTGGGGAGCTGCGTCTTCCTTGGGGTTCTGTTTTAGGTGGCGAGGTGGTGGCTGTTCCTTATAGTACAGCCTTTAGGATTTTACAGTTTTGGTACCAAGATAGACCAGTACCCAAAGGTTTCTTCCTTCCCAGTCCTAAGATCCAGACATCATTAGAATTGGTGAGACAGGCGGAATTCATTTAGCAGAATTTGGGGCTGAGTAAAGTGAAACAGCATATGTGAAGTGTTTTATAAAAGATAGGAACGTTGGGCCGGTTGTATGTGTGTTCACTTGTAATCCCACTACTTTGGAGGCTGAGGCAGAAGGACTGTGCTGAAGTCCAGCCTGGGCAATTTAGTGAAACCCTGTCTCAAAAAAAAAAAAAATTACAAAATGTCTAGGAATATAGCTTTAAGGATAGAGCAAATACGAGGTCCTGGGGTCAATCCCCAGTCACCTCCATGCCCCCAAGATACAAATGTTAACACTGGATTAAAAAGGATTTGGCTTTACGGATGCCTCTTCATGCTCTCTGATGCTAACCTTTTGGACTTTTCTAGGCCACGTGAAGTTCTTCCTTAGCCCAAACTCTTTCCTCTCTGATTGGGTCTCTTCGGAAGGAAGCACATTCATTCTGTTGGTGGATGATGAGGTCAGTTCTGCCTTCCAGAAGTTAGGCAGTTCTGTTTGGATCCCTCTTGGGCATCCGGGAAGGCCTCCTGGGATGGGCCTGTGGCGTGTTGGCTCTCTTACTCTCCAGCTTTACTGTAGGATCATTTACATACAGAGAAATTCATTTAAGTGTACAGTTAAATGAACTTTGGCTATGGTATAGACTCCGTAACCACACTGCAGTCAAGATATAGAATGATTTCCTCACCGTCAACTGTTTTTAACTGCTTGAAGTGGGCCCTTGCTTTATCCAATTTTGACAGTGAGGCCTATATTCCATGCAAGTCGGTGACTTCCATTTCTGTGAGGAACATCTCCCCTTTCATCTGCTTTGCAAGGATGAGGCAACTGACAGGTTTAGAGCTCAATAGAGAAGTTTCTTGGTTCAAGCCCAGTGTGGCCCAGGGAGGCTGAGCCAGGAGTATTACTACAAATTCAAGGCCAGCCCTGGCTACATAATGAGTTCAAGGGCACCCTGGACTACATAATGAGACCTTGACTCAGAAAACCAAAAAGAAACTTCTAGGTTCAAATTAAAATGTCTGCTCTCTTTTGAGTTTTTTCCTTTGTCATTTTATCTTTGAGTTTTTCTGTAGTCACTTTACCTCCATCCTCCAAGTATTGTTATATTATTAAATTCTGTTAATTACTAATTTATGTGGTGTTAGGAATTGAATCTAGGGATCTTGTTATGCCTGAAGAACCCCCTTTTAGGGTAGTGGCCATCCACTCTTCAGGAACAGTATTCCTGTGTTCTTCTGTGTTGTGTGAGAGACAAGGGTGGAAGAGGGGCTATCGGCGTGCCTGTAGGACGGTGCACCCTGCACCCCCTGCACATGTGTTCCAGTCACAGCTTACTGAGTACCTGGGTCTGGACCTGAAGTGTGTGTCACAGGAGTCATGGAGACTGTCACTGGAACAGCATTACGCTAGTGACATTCAGAGTTGTTGCCAAGGTCTATTCCCTTCCCATCCCATGAACTTTCCTTTTTTTAAGTGACTCATAGTTTATATCTTGTGTAACATGCAACCTGATACTTGACTTACCAAATGACCCTGAAATAACCGATATAATCTCTCCCCACAGGTAGAGCAGAGTTGTTCCCTTACTACTGCCAGAAACCTGTTCTCAAGAGGTTTGGGAATAAGTGGAAAAGGTAAAATAGCTTACTTGACCAGACTTCTTCTGGTGTTCGGATGCTGTACACCCTGGAGTCTTTTCTGAACACAAGTCTGGCTACTTTCCTTTTAGCCAATGTGTGTGTGTGTGTGTGTGTGTGTGTGTGTGTACACACACTGAGGATTGAACCCAGGGCCTTGCACATGTTAGGCAAGTTCTCTGACACTCAGGTACACCCCTAGCCCCTCAGCCAACCTTAAGCCTTTCCTATACCTCATTTATTTTTATTGGTTTCTTACATATATGCTATTATTTTCATCATTTTGTGATCTCTCCACTTTTCCTAACATCCAGTGAGTGAAACTATGTTTCCTGTATTATTTCTACATTATTCAAAACATTTTCTGACAAATTTGCTTGGAATACATCCCGCATGTTCATAATATTACTAGAGAAAACAGACATTCCTGAGACTGATGATGTCTAATGCCAACACAATTTAAACTGGGCATGGTGGCTCACACCTGCAATCCCAGCACTCAGGAGGTGAGGCAGGAGGATTGCAAGTTCAAGCCCAACCCGGGCAACTTAGTGAAACCCTGTCTCAAAATAAACACAGTTGGAGGTAACTCAGTGGCAGAGACCCTGGGTCCAATCTCCCCCCCCCCATCCAAACTGGATTTAACATAACTTACTCAGAAATAATTAATTTCAGTAATAAACAGATTTTTGAAAATTTTCTTCTGAGAGAACTTTTAAAATGTAGGAGCTGCTTAGCATACTTCAAATGGAATGAAGTTGAAATATAATGGCCATAAAAAGGAAAAGATCAGCCAGGAGGCAGAACCACATGGGTAGCTGTGTTGAATCAAGACTTTATGTTATTTTCTCCTACTCTCAAGTGAACATCAAAGTTAGGAAGGGTAGAATGGAAAAACTGAAGCTTTCTCTTATAGGTTGAATTGTTCCCAAATACACATGTTGAAGTCCTAGCTCCTCACGTTCCCAATCAGTTGAGGGCTCTTTCACTCTGATTTGGATAAAAATCACCAATCAAAAAAAAAAATCGCCAGTCAGCAACGTGCAGCTCTGCCACTGGCTCTTAGCCCATGGTGTTACAGCTCTAGGGGTCTAAGCCCCCCATCAGCACCTCATCAGCTGGGACTTAACTTTTAACAGTTATCCAGGCTTCTTTGAGCTTATGCTCGGCTCCTCCGAGCCCCGCAACTGCTGGGAGTTTTCACTGCTGGTTGTGAACAACGCGTGTCATTACCCCTTGATGACACCAGTCTCTGCTGCTGCGGTATACCAGTCAATACCGTTTACCATCACTGATTAGTGCCACTGCCAGATGCTGCTGGTCGCCACCCCTACCTCTGGAGCTCTTCAGGCCTAGCACCCCTTTGTGTTTAAAATTTTTGTTTTGGTACCAGGGATCGAACTTGAGTCCTTGGGCTTGCGCAGCAGGCGCCAAAACCACTGAGCTAAATCCCCGGCCCTTTAAAACTTTTTTTAAAGCAATGCTGCCCGGAAATTTAAAATCCTTAGTAGACTACCAGTACCTTCTGAGCCCACACTACCCAAAAAATAAATCATGAGATTTACTTTTCTGAGCCAGAAGACAGAGGCTTTATTTAGATGCAGCCTGTGCTGCAATACAGTGCAGCAACCACCAGAAGCCCTCCTAGCCCAATTGAAGGAGTAGGAGTAGAGCACTGCTTATATAGGTAATAGAAGCACAGATTTGGTCCAAATTTGAGCCGATTGGCCCAAATATGAGCCTACTAATTGGTTCAAATTCAAGCCTCAAGCACTTCAAGCCTGATTGGTCTAAATTCAATTCTATAGGTTGGTTCAAATTCAAGTCCATGGCAGTCAGGGCAAACACATACCCAAGTGGATGTGGGGTGTCCAGTACAGCCAAGTTGTCATGGCAGTAGTTTGGTGGGACATTAGGAGAAGGGAGTGTTTGATTGACAGCTGATGTATCCTAATGAAAACGTCAGGACTAACACTGGGACTGCCGCTGCTTTGAAGGACTATAACCATGTTAATCACATCTTATTGGGGTCTGGGTTTTGCAGGATGTTAACAATGGGCCTGGGTCCCTCTCTGATCTCTGACCCATTTGAGGCCTTTTTCTGCCCCATTCTTCAGAGAGAGAGCAGCAGCACCTGCAGCTGCAGCAGTGAAGAAGGATGTCAGGTTGGAACTAGCTCTACCAACATTTTGATTTTAAACTCGAGCCACAGGAACTACGAGACAACACATTTCTGTTGCTTAATTCATCCAACATGGTGCTTTATTATGGCAGCCCTAGCAGACAAATATAATTCTCCTCTTTATAAAATAAGATCTTGCCAGTGAAGCTCCTTTCTTTTGCTTGAAATGTGAATTATCAGAACACCAAGTTTACCCACACCAGAACACCAGCACACACACAAAAAATTCCAGGCCACAGATCAGATAAACTCTAATGTGTTTGCTAGCTAAGGTTTTCATCTGAATTCCTGGATTACGCAAAAGTTATCTGCTCCCATCTGATGTCTGCCATCAGAAAACAGAGTTGCAAGTATTTGTCTCAGTGTAAAGTTTTAATGATTTGAGATTTTTGGAGTTTTTTTGTTGTTGTTGTTCCAGGGATCAAACTCGGGACCTTGTGCTTTTGAGGCAGGCTGCGGAATCACTGAGCTAAATCCACGGCCCAGCTGTTTTTTTTTTTTTTTAAACAGGGGTAAGACATCAGATGTTCCTTCTAACCTGTCAACTGAGCATGGACCATAGTATACTTGAAGGGTTTCTTACTTTACAGCATCCAAGCTCTCTTCTGTTAAGGTCCAGGCAGGCCTTTCTTTCCCATTGATGGTTATTTTTATGTGTCAATTTGACTGGGGCACAATGTATCCTCATATTTGGTCAAATATTATTGTGATGTTCTGTGTAATTTTGGATGAAATTGATATTTGTATTGGCTTTACCATCACAGGGACAAAATCCATGACATCCACAACTTAAGGGAAGAAGGATTTATTTTGCCTCACAGTTTCAGGGGGTTCAGCCCGTGGTCAGCTGGCTCTAAGAAATGGCATGGCAGAAGGGCCTTGCAGAGAAAAGCTGTGTAACCCATGGTAGCCAGGGAGCCAAGAGAGTAGAAGAGCCCAAGCAAGAGATATGCCCTCTAAAGGCCTGGCAACATCCTCCAACTGGGCCCCACTTTCTAAAAACACTGAACTCATTAATGGATTCATTCGCCTGATGAGTATAGTACCCCATGATCCAATCACCTTCCAAAAGTCCCACCTCTGAAGACTTTTGGGGGACATGTTAGATCTAAACCGTGACAAAATTTAAAAGAGCAGATTAAAGAAGACCGTCTTCCATAATGTTGGTGGGTCTCATCCAGTCCATTGAAGGCCTGAGTAGAACGAAAGCTGACACCCCACGATATCCCTACCTACAAATGAAAGGATTCTCCTATCTGATGGCTTTTGAGGTGGAAAATCATCTCTTCATGCTGATGATCTTCAAACAGGGATATTAGCCTTTTCTGGTACTATAGTAGCTTGTGCTCTTCAGACTCAAACTAGGACATCAGCTCTGCAGATTCTGGACTTACCAGCTTCTATAATCACATGAGTCAATTCATTATTAATTAATAAATTAATACTGTTATGATTTGGGTCTAGCTGTCCTCCCAAAGCCTCATGCAGTCATAGGGCTTTTGCAGAGGTGGCTGAATCTACAGTATGTGATGCTGGGATTAAGGGGGTGTGATTACTAAACCACTACAATGATTGGTTTGGCACCACCCTAATCCTGGTAGTGTGGATAAGATAAAAGGGGCATGAAGATGTTGTTAGGTTCCCTTGTTGCTTTTGCTACCATGTAGGTGCCATGAACTATTTCTCCTTTGCAACGCCCCCTCTACCATGTGCAACTTGACCTTGGAGCCAGATGATTATGGACTGAAACCTCTACAAACTGTGAGCTAAATAAATCCTTTCCCCTTTAACTTTGAGTGCCTGGTATTTTGTCTCAGCAAGAGAAAAGTAAGACAAATACTCACTGCTTTGAAACCTGAAAATAAAAACATCTCTTTAAAATACAAATACAGTAAGAGCTGGCAGTGTAGCTCAGTGGCCCTGGCAGACCCTAAACCAAGACTCATGGCAGCCTCAGACCCCGAACCAAAAACTAACCCAAACCCAAATACAATGAGAAGAGAAATGTTCGTCACAGACTGCATTTATCTTGTGTTTTATTTTTCATTTTCCTTGGTACTTTATAATCCTGCTTCTTTATCTTTTTGTTTGGTTTGGTTTTGTCTTTTTAGACAGGGCCTTGCTATGTTCCAGGCTGGCCTCCAACTTGTGATCCTTCTGCCTCAGCCTCCCAAGTGCTGGGATTACAGGCGTGTGCCACCACAACAGGGACTACCTGAGTATTTTGAATAAGGAAATAATGAATTGTTATTTGTTCTCCGAGGTCATTTTTCAGATGAATAGAGATTATCATAAAATTTCTGCAATCTGACTGAAAATCTTAGGAATTTAATTTAGCCTCAATAAACAACAACACATTTTAAAAAGACGTATTTATTCTCTGTCATCTCGATTGATTCTATTGCTTTCTACTGGCAATTCAATCTATTATTATGCTTTAGTCTATGTTAAATGACTTGGTTTTATTTTTCTATTATCACACATTATTGTGGTTTCTTTCCTTCCTTCACTGTTTACAAACTAACTATAAATGCTGTTGGACAAGACAAGAAGAAACATCCCAATAATGCACAGCCATGGAGTTTGTGCTTAGCTAGAACTGGATAAATAAAAAGATTAGAGAAAAATATCCCATGAATATTTTTTTTAAATTGTGTAAAAAGTACTAAGATCATACTGAATTAAAGGATTTTACATAAACCAGTATTACTGAATAACTTAAGCCTCAGTACTCATGGTTTCATTATGTAAATGAGACACTCCAATATATTTGGGTGCCTAGAAAAAATTCTTGTTTTATTTGAGATGGGTTATGCTATGTAGCTTAGGATGCCCTCAAATTTGGGATCCTCCTGCCTTAGCCTCCCAAATATCTGAGATTACAGATGTGTGCCACCATACTTGATACAGATAAATTCAGATCATGTGATAATATGACTTTTTTCAGATCTCTACAAAATTACTTTCCTATAAATTTGTTCTTCAAAACTAATAGGAAAGTACAAGTTTTCCCGTAGTTGGGGGCCTGAGGGTTCTATGTCCCTTGAGAGAGGAATGTTTTCAGTCTCCGTTTGCTGTTGCCTCGAGGTGTGAGGCCCTGAACCTGTGATTTAGTGTTTTAGCTGTGTAAAACAGCTGCATTGGGCTGCAAGAGCATCCCATGGTATAATGTACAACAGTTTCCAGCAGCTGTGTCCTGTAGAACTAAAACACGAGTCAAGTGGGAGCCATATCTTTTTTTTCTGATAGCTGTATTTTAAAAAGAAAAAAAAAACAGTGAAAAGAATCTTAGTAATATTTGTATTTATCTGAGTATATAAAAATATAATTCAACATGTAACCAATACCTAAACTATGAAGATAATTAATTTCTTTGATAGGGACCCGGAATCAAGTTCAGGACTCCCACAATGCTAAGCAAGTGCTCTACCACTGAGCCAGATCCTACATTTCTTTTTGTGTCTGTTACACCTTGCATATTTTACATAATAACACATCCTGTGAAGTTATCCATATTTCAAATGTTCAGTAGTCCTATGTGGCTAATGACTTCCCTACTGATCCACATATAGATCTGAATTACTCTCTCATTTAAACGAGTTCGTTATTTGGCAGGCAAAGCAGAAGGAATCTAACCTAAGCTGTTGAAATTGTTGTTTCAGACTCTAGGGAATTCACAATGTTTCCTAAAGAAGGGATTGCCTCCTTTGGTATGTTGAATTAAAAAAAAACAACAATTCAAACACTAAAATGCATAAAATAAAAGTCTCCCCTCACCATTCCAAAATTAACCAATGCTACTGGCAACTAGAGATAGCATTTGGATACTTAGGTTTCGTAAGTCTGGGCAATGGCCAGGTCTCTTCACGGCTCTGCAAGCTTTTAATTATGGTAACCTGTAGATTCTCCATTTCTGCTTGCTTACCACTGTCATATGGAAGACATTTTCTTTTCCTAGCATTTTAGTTCTGGAAAGAAATAACACTATGTACTTTGCTTATGTTTTACTTAGTACAGGCTATCTGAAAATAATGTTTCATATGTGTTTTAAAATGATGGGCCATCCCTGACCCGTTCTAGCTGCATGGGAATCAGCTTCCCCTAGCCAGCTTCCATATTCTGTCAGTGAACCTAATCTGTGAGTGAACAGACTGTGAAAGTCAGTTACCGTTTTCCTTGGGTGGCATTTCAAAGTCAAATAGCTCAATGCTGACATTTAACACTGGTCAGTACCATTCTCATTCTGGAAATCCGGTCTTCTGTCCAATCAGTGCATTGTTTGAATTTAGACGTTATATATTTCAATACTTTATATACTTATGTAACTATTTTTATTATAGTTAAAATACATAGTTATATACTCCTATAAATATATTCTAAATAATATATTTCATATTTTATATATTTCTCCTAAACAATGCCAGAAAAATACAATTACTAAATACGTTATGCAGTTATACAGTATTTTGTTCTGCCGGTGTTGAGTCCCATTGGAGGCCAGCAAAGGACAAAGGGGCTGTGCCCTGAAAGGACGCCCGAGGCGGGGTCAAGGCCCCAGCTAACATTGCGTGTCCCTTCTGCCCCTAAACTGTACACGGCCACCTATTTATTGCGCAGGCGCGGGAAGGGGCGGGGCCGAGGCGGCGGGAGTGGGAGGCAATTGGCTGGATATCGGGTGCCCCGCCCCTCGTCTTGCGTCTGTGGTCGTGCGTTTGTCCCAGAGCTGGCGAGCGGGGTCAGGCTGTCTTCCCGCGCGCCCGTCACTCCGGCTACTGCGGGACGGCGGAGGTTGCCTGTGGGCCTTGTGTGAGGCGCTGCTGCTACCGCTACCCGCACTCGGTACAAAGACAGTGTTTCCGCCCAGTAAGTATGAGGCTTGGGGCAGGCGGTGGGGACGCAGGGCTTAAGGTATCAACGCCTAGACACCCCGCTGTCTCTCACTCCTGCCTACCCCGAGCCGCGTGTGGGCTGCTGTTAGGCGGCGGCCGGTGTGGGGCGAGGGGCTTGCAGAAGAGCGGTAGGAGTCGCGGGGAGGGAGGCGAGGCGCGGGGCCGCCCCATTGGCTGGGTCGGTTTTGGCGCGCTCTGGCGTCCGCGCTTCCTATTGGTGGGCGGGGAGGGTGGGCGGGGCGCTGCCTCTGGAGGCCCGCGCTCCGGGAGGTGGACCTTTGCGTGTTAGGTGGCCGACCGCGATCTGGGGGCTCCGGGAAGAGGTCGCGAGGTTTGGCGTCTCCCGTTTAAAAAAGGGATACTGACTTTGGTGACACTAGTTTCTCCGTATACAGCGTTTCCTGTGGACCCCGTCCCATCCTAGAGGTTTTAATCTGGGTGTGTAAATGAAGTGGGGCATAAAAAGCGAACGAGGGCGCAGGGTGCTGACCTGAGTGGCCAGCGTGAAGGATTAAACTTAGTCGATGAGTGGCTTTCAACTTCTTAAACACTAAGCACATTTTATTTCATGATTTAGGATACAGCCATCTAATTAAGTAGAAGTTTCACCGGGCATTTTCAAGTCTCATCTTTCCCATTCTGTTCAGTTATGTCTTTCTGAATAGCGTTACTCTTGACCCGGTAAACGATTTTGGGACCCAGGGGAGCTTCCTGTACTTTGAAAAAAACACCCCAGCTCCCGTTAGTGGGTCCTGACCAGCATTTTCTTAGCATGAAATAGAATGGAAAGTAACGGCGCCCCGCCCAGTTAAGTTTTGCTCCCTGAGCTTTTTGTTTGCTTATGTGTGCTGTGTGCTAGAGCACAAAGTAAATGTGTCCGTGTAAGACATGTGTCATAGCCAGAGTTGGAGAAACACTACCCTGAGCGAAACCCTCACCACAGTAATCAGAGACATCTATTAGAGGGCACAGACATGGCCAGGGGGTCAGACGTCAGTGTGCAGGGAGTGTAGGCCGTATTCTGCTCAGCCGCATTGTGTATCTTGCCTCCTGGACCCCCTTTTAGTCCTTCAGCTGATGTGGGTGGTTAAATAAGTTTATTGCAGTAACGTTAAGTTGCCTCTGAAGCAGCAGAGTTGGGGCGCTAATCCTAGGATGGTGTGGCCATCCCGGAGTATCTGTGTTGTGCTTTTCCTGGTGCCCATTTCTCCGTGCTTTGAGATCTCTGTATTCTTTTCAGAACACCATCACTTTCTAGGAAATAGTAAATCTACTGTACAATAGTGTGATTTTTTTATGATTATAAATATTTTCAAAAAAAATCTAGAGAACACCTTAGGTACAAACCATATTCTATTTTTTTATGCTTCTCTCTTTTTTTGTTTTGGCACGGGGATTCAACCTATGACCTTGTTGTGCTTGTGAGGCTTGGCCCCCATATTCTGTTTTTTAATTACTGGTCTTTTGTGCTTCAGCAGCTGTATAATGAATCCCAGTATGAAGCAGAAACAAGAAGTAATCCAAGAAAATGTAAAGGTATGTGAGCATCACTCGAATGGGTTGTAAAAAGTATGTGATTAAAAATTTTCTTTTAATTTAAGAGGTGGAGGTCTTTCTCTATTGCCTATGCCAACCCCAAGCCGGTGGGCTCAAGGGATACTCCTGCCTCAGCCTCCAGAGTAGCTGGGACTGTTGATGAAAAGTATTTATGACAATTTAGCCAAATTTATCCTGAGTTACTGGATTTTTAGGACATCTTGAGTATTTTATTCTTTTTGATACTGTTCTGAATGGCGTTGTCTCTTAATTTTATTTCTTGGTTTGGTATTGTTCCTGTGTAGAAATAAACTAATTTTTGGATCTTGATCTTGTGGCTTGTAACCTTGTTAAATTTGTTTGAGCTCTAATAGTTTTAAAATAGATTCTGTAGAATTTCCTGTATATAAGATTAACTGCTTTGTTTACTCCAGGACATCATCGCTTTCTAGTAGATAGTAGATCTACTACACCTTTTCATAAAATGATTTTTATTAAAATCTTTTGTGAATATCTTCTGAATTAGTTTGACTACAGAGACACATTTTGCATTGTATTGAACATTTTGCATTGTATTGAACATTTTCCAGAGTACATCTTTCATTACTATCTAACCTATTTGATTTGCAGAAACTTTGGAATCCCTAATACTGTCACTAGAAATCTTATCCCAAATATTTATTCTTAGATCTCTAGGAGAGAGTTTGTTTAATTTTGAGTTTGTGATTTTGACTGGGTCCACTTACGTACCTCTGTTTACAAATGGGCTAGGTCCATACAACTTAAACTATGTGAGGATCCTGGTAAGTGAAGCATGTCTTCAGAAAAAGTATTACTTTACAGATTTAAGTTAGAATAAATAAAAGCCATTGAAAGCAAACACCTTTTGATATGTTTTTATTTGGTTTGGTTTTCTCAGGATCCTTAACACTGTTTTTCTTGAATAATAATTCACATTGATAAATTGTGTAGTTGATTGTATTAGCTTTCATTTAGGATGATGACATCTTCTCACTGTGCTTTGGGTATGTTGAAACTTCATTATGAAGATTTTCAAATTTTTTTTTTTTTAATTCTTTTTTTCTTTTTTTGGTACCGGGGATCAAACTTGGGTCCTTGGCACTTGCGCAGCAGGTGGCGAAACCACTGAGCTAAATCCCCCGCCCAAGATTTTCAAATTTTGAAAGGTAGAGTAAATTGTATAATCTCACTTTACATCTGCAACTTTCAGTGATGATCAGTTATGGCCAATCTGGTTTCATCTGTATCTTCATTTGCTCCCCATTTCCTCCACTGGATTATTTTGAAGCAAATTCCAGGCATCTTGGACATGAAGAGGCTAGTATTCTGTTTGGATCTGATTTTGCTTGTTGTGGGGGCAAAGCTAGAACTTGAGTGGGTTAGTTAGGAAATCACCCTCAGTTTACCTGTAAAATGAGAGAATTTTTTCTACAACTAGACATGTAAGAGTAAATTTTAATTCAGTATGGATTTCTTGCCAGTTGTATGCAGAAATTCTTTTATTTGTTCCTGTGTATGTATTTGGGGGAAAGAATTGACTGAATATCAAGTTGTTTTCTAAAAAGGTTAAGATTGGGGTTGGGGCTATAGCTCAGTGTTATAGTATTTATTTGCCTAGCATATGCTGGGCCTTGTGTTCAATTACCAATGGTACTGAAAAAAAAAGACTAATAAAACTTTCTTACTGTAAAAGTCCATTATTCTAGTGTATAATATGTATTGAAATGTGATAGTTATATTACCTTTCTTAGGCCAGATTTTATAAAGCTTACATGTGTAAAAGTTAAATCTTGGAAATGGTCTTTTTTTTGGTGACAGTGACTTGTCTGGCTTCTATGACCATTGTTAACATCAAACATTTAAATAAATTAATATCATGTCATTAATGTTCCAGAGTTTTAATTTTTTGTATTTGTCTGCAGACTGTTGACTAAGGTATAAATCTAAATTATATCTGAAATGTTGGTGTAATATTTGTTCTTGCAGTAGCTGGCCTTTGTCCTTGAGTTAAATAGTGAGATAATAATCAGCAATAGAAACTTTACCGTGGGAAAGGTGAACTTTGTCATGTGGAGTACAGTGTGGAATCAGTTACTTTCTCACGCTGGTGTGGTATCATGTTCTTGCTAACCTTGTTTGAGTATTCAGCATTGTTTGCTATCCCATGGTGGCAGTATAACTAATGATTTTTTGCAAAAATAGAGAGAGCTTTTAGATCAGGAAATATACAGGCAAGTATTTACATATTATAAGGAAGGCAATATGTTTTCCAAAACAGTAGCTTGGGCATTTTAGAATATTTTGTTAAGCCTGAAGCACTGACATTTTAGCTGTCTCCTAATGAGTAGACTTGAAGCAAAAGTGCTTCTGCAGTCAGGTAATGGTTGAGGTGGGTTATCTGCTACACATGTACTTGGTTTCAAGGACAGTATGTTCTCTTTTTTTTAACACTGGGGATTGAACTCAGGACCTTGCGCTTGTGAGGCAGGCGAGGTGCCATTGAGCTAAATCTCTGGCCCAGGGACAGTATCTTCTTATGTTCTTAACATTTATATTCCTTTGGTGGATACATATAAATGAGTTTGGGAATATTTACAACTTAACAGGAGGTCTGAGATGAATCTTTTTGATTATAGGAAAAAGTATTTTGCAGTGTAAATTAACCTTTTCTCCCACTTACCTCTTTTGTGAGGTAATAAATGTTATGATATTTAGTTTTATAAAAATGTTACGACATTTAGTTTTATAAAAATTGAGTACTTGTCAGTTTCTAATTTCTGTGTGGAAGGTCTTTTTAAAAAGAAAATACAGGTATTTTGTACTTGAGTTTTGTCATATATATTTTGAATTATTGATCAAAGCTTAGAAAGTTTATTATACATTTGTTTTAACTAGATGTGATTAGTTGATATGATTGATTATAGCAAGAGCATATATTGAAATGAGGAGAAAAGTTATTTATTTGTGTCTAGTTGGAGTGATATGACCCATTATTAAGAATTTCTTCAAACTTTGTTATACTTTGGGAAATAAGTTTGCCAGTTGATTGAACCCGTGTCTTGTTCATGTGTAGCATTATAAAATTGTATAGCAAGCCAAATATTAGTGTTCTTAGTGGGTTTATTTTTTCAAATTTGAATAGGATTAAGATTTTATAGAAATTGAGTAGCTGGATAACCATAGAGCAACTCAGTAAAAAGATAATTATCTTGACTTTTAGAATAGTCCTGTGCCAAGAAGGACTCTGAAGATGATTCAGCCTTCTGCAGGTGGAACTCTTGTTGGAAGAGAAAATGAGGTTTGTGTTCTGGGGCTAAGAGAGGGGTGATAATACCTCTGAATGAAACATTTCCACAATTTTCTTGGTCTGAAATACTTAAGTTATTCAAATTTGGAAACGTTAGCAATTAAATACTCCTCAAAGTAGTTTTTGTTTAATTTGGAAGGTCAAAATTGCTGTGAGTACATATAGTAGAACTGGAATGATGTAATAATTATCTAGTAGGAATAATGTTTGATATTTTGAAAATAAAATGTTAACTCCTTTTATTTATACCTGTAGGTAAATGATGAAAACATTAGTGAGCAACATGTTTAGTCCTTTGGTTTTTGGTTATTAAATCATTTATTAATGATCTAAAAGTTATTTTATTGTCCATCTTTAACTTTGGAAGACAAAGGACTTTTTGCAGGTTGAGAATACTGCCTTTCCATAGTACTAAACTTAAATACAACATTTAACACAAAAAAAGTAATTTCAGATAACCCTTAGACCAAGTTTAATTCATGCTGTAAATAAAATTCCTAAAATGGTACTACACATTTGGGTAAGAGTTTTTAATTACATAATTTTTAAAAATAGGTTAAAAAAATAAAGATACTGTATATGAATTGTTTTTGATAGATAAAGGGCAAAACCACCTAGCTTTCTTGTTCACTCAGTCAAAGTAAGTGATTCCTTTATAGTTGCCTAAAGGGTTATCCAAAAGGAGACATTCAAATGACCCGTCAACACCCAAGACTTCCAGTTCTGGAGCTGTTATTGACCCAGAATCTAGTGAAAATAAAAATCTCAGAGGAGTCACCCAAGAAGCATTTGATCTGATGATTAAAGGTATGAAAAAAATACATAATTTTGTCTGAAATTTTTAAATTTTAATGTACAGTGAATATATATGAGTACTGTAATGGATTCTGTCTACAGCCTCTTAATTTGAGGATACTGTGATATTTCATTTGAAATAAAGACGACATAGGGCCAGGGATTTAGCTCAGTGGTTCCCCTGCCTGCCTTGGAAACACAAGGTCCTGAGTTCAATCCCTGGTACCGAAAAAATAAATAAATAAAGACTATATAAAAACTGTAAGTTTAAAGACTGTAAATTTGGGCAGTTGTGAGCATTTTGGCAAGATCCAAATGTGAGATAAATATTAAAAAGGTACTGATTAATACAGCACTTCTGATAATAGATTGCCTTAGGATTTACAAGATTTGGAAATAGGCTTTTCAGAAGAAAAATGTTTAAAGAATGAGTTTGAATAAAGGGATTTGAATATTCCAGGAGAATATGAAGTAATGGAGCCAATAAGAACAGGGCTGAGGCAAAGGGAGTAAAGATGAATGAGAAGAGCTGGGCGTGGTGGCGCATGCCTGTAATCCCAGCACTTGGGAGTCTGAGGCAGGAGGCTGGCCTTTAGTTCCAAGGCCAGCTTGAACTACATAGTGAGACCCTGTCTGGAAAAACAAAAAAGATGAATGAGAAGTAATATGCTTGTGATAAATACAAGTTTTAATGGAATGGTAGTGGAAGTTAGAAGTGGAAGCAAGTGATGTATTATGGAAGATTTTTACTTCTGTATTAATCATAGGTTATTAGATATTATCAAGATGAGAAATTGAAGCCAAAGAAGTTAATTGACTTGCTCCAGGTCACAGTGACATTTAGGTTTATTCTGAGTTGCCTGGAATACAATAAGGAAGAACATAACATCATGAGGTTTTATTAGGAAAAGTTGACTGGATAGAAATAAACAGCCAAGTGTGGTGGTGCATGCTTATAATCCTAACACTTGAGAGGCTGAGACAGGAGGATCTCAGGATTTTGAGGCCAGCCTGGACTACATAGCAAGACCCTGTCTCAAAAAAAAAGAAAGAGAAAGAAGCTTTTCTATAGTATTACAGAATAAATAATAGGATTTGTGATGCTTAAAACTCATTTGGTTGTAATTAATCAACAAAGATTGGTTAAAAAAAAAACCCCACTGACGTTAAATACTCAAATATTGCTAGTATGGCCATAAATAAATTTTTTTTTTCATGTAACTTGAGCATATAACTGATTTAACATCTTGAATGGGATGTATATCAAAAAGAACTGGAAAGGAATCCTGAACTTTATTAAATTTGTTGTTGGTAATGTTATTGGTGTAGTAATGCTGAAAAAATTTTTGTGAATATTGTAGGGTTGAGCTAATGAGTAATATATTGAATGTTGTTGGGAGGCAGTCATGATAAATGGAATGTGGAAGGAAAAGAAGAGCTGTTGAATTGGAGTTAGGGTATCAGTACAAATTGGTGATCTTTAAAAGAAGTAATATATTTCCACTTCTGCCGCTGAAAGGGCCTAGAAACAAGTGATCCTAAGTAGTAAGGAGCACACTGGGAATTTAGTTACTGGTTTGTAAACACTGTTCTCTTTACAAGGGAGAAATGTAGTAGCTAGTATCTTAATCAAATGATCAAATTTAAGACCCCCAGTTTTGTGATAAATTGTCATGTGCTTTCTGATGATACACTGAGGATATAACATACTCATGCAATAATCCTCCCAAGAAAATGTTTGGCTTGAATCTGATCATAGATACAAAATTCAATGTTAAGAACCATATACTAAGTAACTGACCTGGACTTTTCAAAAATTAGGGTTCAGTGATAGAGAGTATGATTAGCATCTACAAGGCCCTGGGTCTTATTCCAGGGGTAGTGGGGGTAGGGAATTAAAAAGAAGTACCCAAAACAAAAGTTGCAAAAAATCTTTTTTTAAATTTTATTTTTAAATTTTTATTAGTACATGTTTACAATTCATACAGTTTACCATCATCTTGGGAGTGGCTACATGTACATATTACAGCTTGTTTCTTTTTTTTAAACACCCTTGTCTCCCTCTTTCCTGCAACAATCTTAATCTGGTTGACCTGTGTATTTATTGTACTTCTAGAATTCTGAAGGATTAAAATCTTAGAATATCGGAAGAGTAAAATAGAAAAAAAGTAGATTGGATTTTTTTTTTATAGGAAAACATTAAGTTTTTGCAGTAATGATTTTTAAAGTTATACGTAAAATATTATTTCAGAAGATCCATCTTCTCAATATTGGAAAGAAGTGGCAGAAAAACGGAGGAAAGCTCTCTATGAAGCCCTTAAGGAAAACGAGAAAGTATGTATTAAATATAATTTGTACCACTTTAAAAGTTTCCAGGATTAGAGCTGGATGTGGTGGCACACACTTGTAATCCACCACTCAGGAGGCTAAAGCAGGAAGATCGTTGTTGGGAGGCCAGCCTGGGCTATATATATATAGTGAGAACTGTCTCAACCCTCTGCCCCAATAAAAAGTGTCCAGGATTGTTTTCCTTTTGCTGTGTAGCATATTTAGTTAGAACAATATAAACTAGCTTTAATGCTAGCCTAAGACAAGTTTGATTAGAAAAGTAACTCGGTTATCAAAATTTCATGGAAAATAAATCCTGTTGTATTGAGAGGTAACTTTATGCTACAAGTGTCTGTCAGTTATGTAGATGGAGTTGTATAATTTGGCTTATAGCATAGCAAATCTACAGAATATTGAACTTTTGATTTATATTATATAGCTTCATAAAGAAATTGAACAAAAAGACAGTGAAATTGCCCGTCTGAAAAAGGAGAATAAAGAATTGGCAGAAGTAGCAGAACATGTACAGTATATGGCAGAGGTAATAGAGGTAGGTCATTTAATATTCACCTAATTCAAAGGAATCTTTTTCTGTAGAGTTGAGTAGCAGCTTTAATCATTAAGTGTGGGATCTAGAATCAGATTTCTTGCGTTTGGGGTTTGAGTCTTAGCTTCCTGCCTAGCACATTTAGTGTCTTGATTAGGACAAGTTATTTATCTGGTTGGGGCTTCATTCCCCTCATCCATGAAATAGGAGTAGAGCCTATAATCCCAGCACTTGAGCTGAGGCAGGAGGATCACTGTGAGTTTGAGGCCAGCCTAGGCTACATAGTGACTGAACTACATAGTGAGACTCTGTCTCAGTAAATAAATAAATAAGTAAATGGGAATAGTAACACCTACATCTGAAAACATGGAAAATTTTATAGTTGACATTTATTTGTAGGTAGTGTTCACTTTAATTTTATATCAGAATGACATTAACTTTCATTTATAAAACTTAATTGGTACATAAGTTTGGTGGTTTTATCTGACTTTAAAATTTGGAAGTAGTGCATTTATAAGAATTAGCCTCATAACTTAGGGTTAAAATAGGTTTTATGACATGTATAAAAAAAAATATCTGTTTTACTGATGGAAAGTTTTTTGAATCAGAACTTCTCTTGTGCTGAATTGCAGCCTTAACATTTCAAGAGCTGTGATAAAATTAATGTTTTAAGTATTCATTTGAGTACTATAGTAACTCTTAAGTGCCTTAAAAGTACAGTGGTACCTGGGTTCACAAACTTGATCCTTTCTGAGATTCTGGTCACTTGTTGCTTTCTATGATTCTGGGCACAAACCAAGTTGGACAGGAACCGAATTAAATTTCAATGGTTGTGCTGGGCATGGTGGGGCACACCTGTAATCCCAGCACTCAGGAGGCTAAGACCGGAGAATCACTAGGTGTTCAAGGCCAGCCTGAACTACACAGTGAGACCCTGTCTCAAAAAACCAAAAAAAAAAAAAAAAATTCAATAGTTATGTTCAGTGTTGAATTTATGGGGAAATTTAATTTGGTTCTTGTCCAGTCCAGTTTGCAAACAAGTGTAGAGAGAATTGAGCTTGTGAACCGAGGTACCACTGTACTGTATTGTTCTCCAGCTGACTGGAAATTTAGAACATTTGATTCCTCATTTCAGCTTATTAGAGAAGTACCAGTTAAAATTATGCTTTGAAAACAAGTGCTTTAAAAAACTGACAATTAAACACTGATTTTGCTGACATAGTCTAGCATGGTAGAGACATTGATATTGATAAAACGCTATTTGTAAGTGAATTTTATTGAGGGACAAGATGAAAAAACAATACACTATTGAGGGTCAGTTACATCAGCATACTGACAATGGACTTGAGTTTTTAAAGTTTTTACATTAAATTACTGGTTTATTCCTTAAAAGAGACTGTCTAGTGAGCCTCTGGATAACCCTGAATCATCGGATAGCCAGGAATTTGATTCCGAAGAGGAAATTGCTGAGGATTCTGAAGTGGAAGACTCAGAAACTGGCACATGTGAAGAAACCGTATCTTCTACAGATGCAAAGCCAAGTACATGAAGTTCATTAATATTTGACTCTTAAGAAATACACTGCCAAAGTTTACCTCCACTCTAGTTCTGTGTAGCAAAATGCTGGAATCATATTTCTTTGACTCCTGGGACCCTATTGTGTTCAAATACTATATATTTTTAATCTATGTTTTATGTAAATAACATTTTCACTTACTCAGTTGTCAGATATGACTTGCGTGTATATGATAAATAAACTTCAGTTTCCTATTGCACATTGTATATCTTGGAAGAATGGAGTATGAGGAGGCTATAGAAAATGTCTTTCTATGCTGTTATATCATTTGCTTTCTGTTGCTATCTTGGAAAAAATAAGATGATGAATTTATCCCATTTAGACTGAGATAACTGAAATTTTAACTCCCAAACCTGTTTGAACCTCAAACTTACTGCATTAGTGACTTCCAGATGCCATTCTCGGATATTCTTAATAGTTTTTGGCATAGAGCATGACAGTCTGTTTCCACAAATTTCCCCGAGTGGATCTGATTAGTGAGGAAGAGATGGGTGGTATTGTTCTTGACAGACCCGCTACTTTGTTCTTCCCTGACCCAGGGGCGAACGAGGATGAAGAACAGACATGGAGCCAGCTCAACATGCGGCAGCCAGGGGAGTTTCTACCTCTAGCAGGCAGAGGAGTCCCGAGCCTTTGGCTCACCTCCTTTTTATTCACCCAAACACGGACACAAGCAATCAGGGTAACACAAGATTCATCTAGTTTCCCGTATCCATTAGCACATCCTCTGGTAAACAACTTAACCTCAGCTGTCTTAGCTTTTCCCTAATATGCAGTCACCCCTGCGTGCAGCCTTTCTCCTTTGTGCTCACAGAGGAGGCCAGTTAGGCCTTAATTCTCCCTGGTCCTTGACAGAATAGGATGATTTGGCAATAGAAAGTCTGAAAGTGCCAAAAGTGAGCATTTTTAAAGTAAACTAAAATTTTAGGACTTCTAGAAAAAAACAATAGGGAAAAATCTTAGTAACTTTAGGTTTGGTAAAGATTTCTCAAATAGGACAAAACATGAACTAAGTTGGCTTCATAAAAATGAAAAACTTTGAAAAACCCTTAAGCAAATGGAAATTGGTGCTGTCTGCAATGATTTTTCTCTTTTCATCACTGTGCCTGAGAGTCACAGTTCCCTAAGACAGTAGGATAGGCACAGTCTGGTTTCCATTACCGCTCCTGGGGAGGGTTGATTGGGAGTCCCCTCAAGACTATACCATGGGCAGTGTGTCCTGTCTAAAGAAATTAAAGTTATGAGAAAAAAAGTATGTTCAGAGTTCTCAGTGGAAATCCCTTTGTTCTTTCCAAAAATCCCAAGATCCAACATCAAGGTGATGTTGATTAGGATTTTTGGCATTGATGGAATTGTGCAGGCTCAGTTTGTACCCAGGAACACTATGATGAACTCTGAATATTACAAAGCCTTATATTTTGTTTTTTCTTTTAAAAATTTTTATTTTCAGATTTACTCAATAATATTCTAAAAATGTACAATGTTTCCTTCTTTACAAAGTATAAAAATAAAACCCTCCAGAGTACTTGACATAATTCAAAATCAAATGAGCAGACTTAAATATTCACAAAACTTTTTTAAGAATATAAAGTTATATGCAATTTTGTGGAATTGACAAAAGAATATCTGAAAAATGAGAGAATTTTCTTTCATTCCTAAAAAGAAACTGTCCAGTAGAAGCTGTGAAGGTTTTCAGTCTGTGTACCAATGCCTTGTCTGTGTGCACAAGAAAACTAACACAGGACAAGGGGCTGTCAGTCCTCCAGGCTGGAGCTGGCCTGGGGACACTGCTTACCCCCAGGTAGCAGGGCAGGGATTGGGCCTCCACCAGCACAGTCTGGTTTTCTAGAATATTGCAAATGTTTAAAGATGTTTGCTTTCTTGCAGGCCTTTCAGACTGTTCAACAGTCTAGCCTCTTTAGACCCCATGGCTTTCAGTGTCACCTGATTTGTTCTTTGGGAGTCACATGCGCTTTGGAAAGGACAGCCCACCCTGCTCAGGTTCCACATGCCCATCCTGGAGAGGTTTAGCAAGGAGACAGTTATTCTTACAACCTGTGTCTTCCGTAGGAATACAGTACCACCAGTTGCCAGGATGTAAACTAGCAAGGCATCGGACAAGACAGTAGAAAGCAGGAAGAGGACTAGGGATGGATCGAGGAGGGTGTGACCCAGCTCCTGCAAGGCAGGGCCCAGCAGCCTCACTGCCTAAGTGGGGAGAGGGGCCTGGGCTGGCTTAATGCTTCCTGGGAACATCACAGCCAGTGACTTAGGCAAAGGTGCCACCACTGTGGCTGGCCTCAAAGTTCTGGTGATCCTCCTGCCTCAGCCTGCCTAGTGCCAGGATTACAGGTGTGCACCACCATGCCCAGCAGACTTGTAATTTTGTGGAGATCATAGATGATGCTGGTTTTTTTTTTTTTTTTTTGGTACCGGGGATCGAACTTGGGTCCTTGCGCTTGCGCAGCAGGTGGCGAAACCACTGGGCTAAATCCCCGGCCCGATGCTGGTTGGTTTAATACACAATCATATATAGGAGTTCAAGAAAACATTTTGTCTATTTTAAGTACTGTCTTCCAATTTGTCAGTGGTCTTTAGCAATAAGGAGTTTTAGCATTAAACACTTTTCCAATTTTCAATATTACCATGAAATAAAAATTAGAAAGTAGAAAACTGAGTATTTTCCTTAAAACATAAAGGTTAAGTAGTTGTTTTATCCCAGCGTTGTGTTCCACTACATCTGTACACACCGCTGTCCTCATCCCTGGAGTTTTTAACATAGGGTCAGACATGGTGAGGTGACACCCAGGTGGCTGTGACAACACTGAGATGGAGCTGGGCTCCAGGTCTCAGCAGAGCCAGTGCCTTGTGTGTCCGACTGGTGATGATGGATGAAATGCTTTTGGGCTCCCTGACTGGATCACACTGGGAGAGATTCATCAGAGCTGACACTGCATGCGCTTGTTCTCCAGTGCAGCACAGCGCTCGCTCAGGTCGCGGATCTCTTGTTTTTGGGGGAACAGCCTGGTCAGAGAAGTCCCCACACAAACGTGCTTTCAAATAAACTGCAGGTTTTCTGATGACAGAGACACAGCTGTGGCAATGTCAGAATTAATTACCTGGACTGAGTCATGTTTCAAATGGAAGTTTCTGTCTGAAATTTTTGTTGTATTTCAGGCTAACCTATTTATTTATTTACCAAAAAGTTCTACGGACAATAGCAGACAACTGTTATTCTCCTATGTGGACCACTGAGACAAAAAACTGAAATTTTTAATGGTATGAACTATTTTTCTTTTGCTATGAGACAGTTTCCAACAATTTCACTGTGTTGAGTTAGGATTTATTTAAAATATTTCTTTGTTTAAAAAACTCAAAAGTTTAAAAGTTTGGCTTTCTGCTGGATGTGGTGGTGCATGCCCGTATTCCCAACTGAGGCAGGAGGATTGCCGCAAGTTCGAGCCAGCGTGGGATATACAGTGGGTTCCAGGCCAGCCTAAACTACACCCTCTCAGACACAAAACAAAACAGAAAACGAAGATTGGCTTCAGCACACGTCCAAGCCACTGTAATGGCCTTCAGAAATACTAAAATCAAAAACATCAATGAGCACCGTAAGTCTTCCTTTAACCTAGTAGGACAAATTCCATTCTGGTACTCTGTAAGACAGAGTTGTGTCAGTTTTCATTATTTCCCATTTTGTAGTGTTTCTAGTTAGAGGAGAGATAAATGTAACGTCCCCCTAACTGCTACTGTAATAATAAACATCAACATTACTTCAGAACCATATACTGTATACCATGAGGAGAGGAGAATACAGATGTTGATTGATTCTGCATTGCATAGAAATAAAATTCTCCTACAATAATACTACAGAATTCTACTAAAAGCCTTTTATAATAAAAAGTAACAACTTTTTGCTTTCGTTTTCATGAAGTTAGGAAACTGATTTCAAATTTTGAAGCCTCGTATCACAATGCCTCAAATTCTAGGGTATTCTTTTGATTTATAATTGCATGAGGTGATTGTCCCATTTTAAGAATGTGATTTTCTTCTTAAGTATTCAACTGGAAAACCCCTGGTAAGACCTTATAAATCAAAACTTTAATATTGAAGATTTTAATATTTTAAATATTTTTTGAGCAGAAAATTTCCTTTAAAGTTAGAGATTTAAGTCCCTAAGTTTTAGATCAAAATGCTGTCATTCCTGTGGGTTGAAATGTAGAGATCTAGAGCAAGGAGACATTCATTTCTTACTGAAAAAATGAGACTTCTCAGTTCTAGGCTGGTCCAAGTGTCTCTCTGAGTCTCACTACTTTATGTTCAAATTCTCCAGGCAATTTTGATGGCATGATCTATCAGTACACAGCCTAATACAAAAGAAGCCAACAGGAGAGAGTATCAAACCTGCTCCTAGGTTGTGGGACTGGGTTACTGTTGAAAAGTCCATCTCAAGTGTGACTCTGTCAGCATCAGGCCTGGCTGGGGGCCTAGAGGAGCCCAGGTGAGATCCAGCCTGCCAGCTTCCTAAGGATGAGGAGCATCAGCCACAGGAACCCACAAAGCTGAGTTGTTCTTGTCCTGCAGGAGTTGGTGTATGGTGGAGAGAGCAGGTTCAAAGCCACCACTCACAAGAGGGATGGGCTCAAGCCTAGGCAACTAGATTCCCAGGGACTCGTACGTACCCTTAGACATGAAGTTGTTGAGAATGAACTATTTCTATTGATTAATGTAGTCTGAATTTATTTGCTGGAAAAAAATTAAACACCTGGAACTACTCCAAGTGATTGAAGGCCAGAAGAGCATTCTTGAATCTCTGTTGTGGACTAAATCAAGTAACTGTACATTATTTGAGTAACTGTGCAGTATTCACAAGTCTTGTACTAATGAGTCTCAGAGGAGTCAGTCTCCCAGACTGCAGAGATCTACTTCAGGTTACATTCTTCCAGAGTAAAAGCTTTAAAAATCCCAGAGATTAGTACCTGGACAGGTTAGAAAAAAACAAGGCAAAACAAAATAAAATTGACATTTTCCCAACTCTGCGGCTGTCCAGAGGCCAATAGGGAGGGATCCTCATGGAGAACATTGACTTCAGTCTCAATCAGACTGTGTGCAGCTGCCCTGGAATTGTGTGTGAACCTAGAAGGACCAGCAATGCTTCAGGACACGGGGATCTCTGCACTGTCACGGAGGTGTAGA